CTGTGTATCACCTTTCATTGGTCCTGAATGAAAGTCATTTTTATTTGCAAGAGTTATAACACCTGCCTTCTGTCTTTTTTTTTTCTTCTTCTTCTTCATTTCTCTTTTGGTACTAGATATTGGCTTACAGGCCTAGGCCTTTTTATTTATTTTATTTTATTTTGAGACAGGTTCTTTCTAAGTTATCCAAACTGACCTCGAAAATGCAATCCTCCTGCCTCATTCTCGGAATTGCTGRGGTGACAGGCATGCACCACCAYGCCTAGACCAACATCTATCTTCTTAATTCCAGTTTTTATTGAGGTGTTTTATTTTCTCAAGGTTATCATAAAATTTATTGTTCCGTGAATTTGGGAGTACATATATACTCAGTTCACCTTATGGAAGAATTTTAAGTAGGCACTTAAAATTGCTAAGTGAAAGAAGCCAGTATGAGATGTTCTATATTGTGTTAATCCAATTCTGTGGCTTTCTAGAAAAGCACAACTACAAAGAAAGTAAAGTTAAAAAAAAGTGATTTTCAAGGTTTGTGGGCAAGAGGGAAGGGATGAATAGGAGGAGCTCATGGGATTTTTAAGGCAATGAAACTATTATTTATGCTGTTGTAATGGTGGATGTTATGCATTTGTCAAAACCCKTAAAACTGTATAGTGCAGTGTGAATGCTAATATGAATTATGGACTTTAGTTGATATATCAATATTAGTTCTTCAGTGCTAAACATTTACCACACCAATACAAGCTGCTAAAAATAGGAAACACCCTGAGTGCAAGTATATGGAAACTGTGTGTASTTTCTTTTCAATTTTCTATAAACCTAAAACTGTTCTAAAAACTAAATCCTACTATTTTTWAAAAATGCATCCTATCTTTTTTATGTAGTCCTTTTAATTTTATGCACAAATGTCATAAAATGAAAAATGGKGGACCAGCCAGTGTAGGGTAGAAGTGTTAGAATTAGTCTTTGCAAATATTTCAGGGCAGCTGCATCATGTGGATGTTAGTTTTATCATCTGCAAGATGAAAGCAGTGGAGTACTTTGTTAATTGCTGTGTGCAATTTTACTAWTAAAAGAGAACACAATGAAATATTAATACCTGCTCTACTGCAGATTGACCTTGAAAACATAATATCTAAGTGAGAACAGCCAGATGCAAAAAGGAATTATATGATATGCAGTCTCATATCTATCATACAAAGAATATGCAGAACAGTTAAATCCATAGAGATGAAATGAAGATGAATAATGTCAGGGGCAACAGGAGAAGGAAATGGAGAGTGACTGATTCATGAGTACAGGATTTTGTTTGGGGATGAAAAGAAATGTTTTAGAACTAGAGAGTGATCACACTGACAAAGCATATAGTCTAATACTTATAAATTTTATACTTTACAAAGATTAAAATGGTAAAGTTTGTATTGTATTATTGCAACAAAAAAAGAAAGTAGGAAAAAATTCCACAAATTATTGAGTTGAGACTTTTCAGGAGCAGTGGTTGAAAACAAAGCCTTTTATTGTATATTAAAATAATTTGTAAAATTTTAATATTTCAGGTAATTGTGAACATACATGTGACTATATCGTATATACATTTGTGTGTGTATATATTTTTGTAGGCTATATTTTACCAAAATTCTTAAGTACACTGATAAAGAAAATTTTTTTGAGTTTGACTAAAGAAAACGTATTTCCTACAGTGTAGAAAGGAGATAAACTTTGACTATCCCAAATTTGGGGAAAAAAAAATAATAATGTTTGGGATATAACTATTAAAAAAGGATTTAGAAGGAAAAAAAAGATAAAATTGAGACCAAACTTAAAATTTTACACAAAGATATGTTTTTTCCTTGTTTATTTCCATGAGCATATATATATATGGTTTTGATATGAATAAAAATATTAATAATTTTTCACTCTGCTTTAATGAATGCTAATAATCACCTCTTTTAGAAGTCATGCTTTCTGAGCAAGTCTTTTTTAAAAAAAAAAAAAACAACAAAAACATTATTTTTAATTTAGGAATAAGATTTTTTTCTTCCTGAAGTAGTCTTAAGAATCTTCATGGTCAACATAATTTTATGTATTTAAAAATGCATAATAGATGGCTAACATAGTTATTATTTTTCCTGCCAAAACAAGATAATGAGAAAACAATCAAAATATTAAATTTTGTTGCATTTGAGTGATTTGGTAATCAATATGTATTGAAGTTAAATCCGAAGTAAAACAAGAGTTTTTTTTTTCTTTAATTATATGAGATTCTGTATAATTCTTAACCTACGCATATAGTATGGCTTTAAATACACACACACACACACACACACACACACACACACACACACACTTTTTTTTCTCTTCTTTTTAACACCCCAAATAATCAAGGAATTACTTCAGTTAACACCCAGGCCTCTCTCACTCTGGAGTCAACTTTAGGAATTTTCATGACCAACATAATTTGGGTGAAACCCCTGTGTGTAAGCACAAAGGGGTTTCTAATGGGTTCCCTGATCAAGGAACCAAAAAATGTAAGCACCAAAAAATGTAAGTAGTCGAGCCTCTTCTACAAGGCTCCTGGGGTTGCTGTGGGGGTGGTGGAGGAGTTTTCCCTCTACCTTCTTAGGAATTCTGCTCTGGCCCTGGAAACCAAACTGACAAAAGGCCTATTAGTGAGAAAATACATAGACACAGTGAAAGATATGGAAAATAGACCCAGGACATTTTTTCCTAGCTACAGCTGTTTCCTTATCAGCCTTGTCCAGTAGTAAATTGTAGCTTTTGTTATTTAAGGGCCCAGGCTTCAGCTAGAGTAGGGCAGGAAGGGAAAAGGTCAAAGAACTCTCACCCGAGTAGCACTTAACTCCCTACCATAATGGATCAGCTGATTCTAATGCAGTGAACTCTAGGAACTTCCCTACCTACCCTTCTGTCCTATCCGCACGCACCAGCTGATCCTAATAAACCCTAGGAATTACCTTTCTGCCCCACCCTAAGTGAGGCCTATAAAACTCAGACCCTTGGGTAGGCCCAGTTCGGTTTTTCTGTCCCAGCATGAGCCTCTTGGATGTTTGACTGACTCCTCCKCTGAATACAGAAGAGCTTGCTGATCCCAGGTTGGCTTCCTGCCCCCATTCTTTGTGCTTACATTTTTTGGGTTCCTGACCTGGAACCCACTTGAAACCCCTTTGGGCTTACATACAGCACACACAAAAGAATTGAAAAATCTAAGCATTGGTCGGAAGAATGAGGCTTGAGCACCATCTTAAGCTGAGCAAAGGTGTAGTGGTTTTGGGTTCTGGTTGGTGGGCTCCTTGTGGKCAGGGAGGGGAGAAAGTGTCTGGTGAGGAACAGCTGTCTCTATTTGGAGAGCAGAGTCTCAGCTCATCAGAGTGGTCTCTGCAAGGAGCTATCTTCCTAGTTCAGGGAAATCTTTACACATGGAAATTTTCTTAATAAAAGGGAAATTTAAAGCTAGGCATGGTAGTRCATATCTGTAGTCTCAGGGGCTTGGGAGGCTGAGGCAAGAGGATCCCAAGGTCAAAGCTAGCCTCAACAACTTAGTGAGACCTGTCTCAAAAAATCAAAGAGCTGGGTATGTGGCTCAGTGGTTATGTGTTCCTGGGTTCAATTCCTGGTACCAATAACAAGTGGGGGATTTATTCTTTTTACACAGAGGAAAATGAAACAGCTTTCCCTACCTCTGCTGTTGCTTAGTTGCCATTAGCTCAAAACAGTCCACRTGTCAGAGATGCATGTTTTGAGGCTGCATATTCTGGTATCCTTCACTTTTTCTTAGTTGAACCTATTTATGCAAAGTGAGTTAATTATAGTAAATTAATTCCARTGGACCTACTGATGAGCTAAATTTAGAAAATGGGTTGATGTTTGCCAGGGAAGACTGTTCTCAACCTGTTCCCTTTTTGTCTATGCAGGGAGGAGGTGGATCTGTCTTCTGCGGGCAAGGCAGGTGTTCTCATTGGCTACTGTCCTCAGCAGGACGCCCTAGATGAGCTCCTGACCGGTTGGGAACATCTCCATTATTACTGCAGCCTACGGGGGATTACAAAGCAGTGCATCCCTGAGGTAAGCATCCCTAGAGTTTTTCCAAAAAGAAGGACCCATTGAGGAATGCTTAGTTAGCACCTCTGGCCCCAATGTTTCTCTTACTTTATAAGAAAAAGGAGCCATAACATCCATGGAGTAAGCTTATCAGAAAGGCTTTTTCCATTATGATTGTACAAAAGGAGACATTAAAATATGGTTGTATTATTGATATTCTTTATTTAAAATGTGTCTGAGACATGAGAAAGAAGTTAAATAAAAAATAAYATCATTTCAGACTTTGTGTCTTCCTTCTTTTCTCTAAATGGCTCTTATAATTACTGGACTATTAATTTATATTCAAGACCACATATAGACTGGGTATGTCCAGAACTTACAGGGGAGAGATCACAGAATGTATATGAAATTTTGGAATGTGAGCAGGCCCACAGATTCCTGCAAGGAGTCTCATTCTGAGTGGCCTCAGGAGACAGAAGGAAGAGTAAGATCCGCAGGACCCCCAGACCTCCGCATATCATTGAGAGAGGAAGGAGAGTCTAGTGTAATTGAGGCAAGAGACTGCTGCCACTTCTCTTGATGGGAGCAGTGGTCAGGGAAACAGTGGGGAGAGCCTTGATGGACAGATCAGAAGATGTTCCAAGTAGAGAGTACTGGAATAGCAGTTGCTGCATGCACAATTTTACCTTTTCTGCACCTCAYTTCTGGATTCTGCACTAGAAACAGGAAAAAAAATTAGCTTATGTGATATTCTATTAGAGTCCATGGGAACACTGTAGGACTCACAAGAGACAAAACTAATAGTCTTCGCCTTCACCAGTCCATGAAAATTCATTCACTGTGCTGTTTTTGTAATGCTTCAGCCTTCATTTCTTATTCATGCTCTGTGACTTCAAGTGAAGCCAGAACAGACCCTCTACCTCATTGTGGAGACCCTGGACCCTTTATGCACCTCCCATCTTAATAAAGCAAAGAAAACTAACCACTCTGCAGAAGACCTGCTCACTGCAGTTAAACAGATCTTAGAATCCAGCACTAATTGTTGGCTCCATCTTTAATAGGCATTTTCTCTGTCAGCTCCCCCTTGTTACTTTTTGATTAAAGAGGCAGATGCTTGGCAAATGCTGTAAGCTGGCCCCTTTGCTGTCTGGGGGGAAAGTGCCTGTGAAAAGTCTCTTAATATAGAAAGGCTCGGTGCTTCCTGTCATCCAGGGCAATTGCCTCCTGATTCTCAGCTGTCTTACAGCCTTGTTTTCTGAACTCCTCCACGGAGAAGTTATTTTAATGGCCACCAATTAAGAACTGGCTTTATTTCTTTCTTGAGACTGCAACTGATTTTGCAGACAGTATTGCTACTTGCTCGCTCAGAGGTTTCRAATAGATCAGCACACTTTTCCATCTGCTCCCAAAGGCAATAGCGCCCTTCCTAGCAAATACCCCTCTCCTGTAAATGGTGGGAATATKTAGAAATGTAGACCAGTTTGTTAGCTTTTTGTTGCTATCTGACAGAAACCACTTAGAGGAGGAAAAGTTACCTTTGGTTCATAGTTCTAGAGGTTCAGTCCATGGTCAACTGACTCCATTGCTCTGAGACTAAGTTGAGGCAGAACATTATGGTCTAAGAAAGAAAGTTGCTTAGCTCATGACAGCCAGAAAGTAAGAGGGTGGGGGGAGAGGAAGAGGAAGAGAGAGAAGTCTGAGCCCAGATCAGATTTAGTACAAGGCCATAACCCCAGTGAGCCACCACCTCCAGCCATGCTCCACCTGTCTATAGTCAGCACCCAGTAGTACATTCAAGTTAATAACCCATCAAATGGATCAATCCACTGATAGCCCTCATAATMCAATCTTTTCACCTCTGAATATCACTGCATTGCTTAACGTGAACTTAGGGGTGGGAGGACATTCCTACATACAAATCATAAAAAAATGGGTATATGTGCTCTGAAATACTTACCACAAGATGACCAGAGGGAATTATTAYAAAATAACAGAAAATAACCATTGTAGCTAATGCAGTCATGCACTGTTTATATATAATAACTTTATTATTAAAGTTCTAGTCAACCACAGACCATGTATGTGATGGTAGTCCCCTAATATAATGGAACTTAAAAATTCCTATCACTTAGTGACATCACAGCCATCATAATATGGTAACAATGCATCACACACATGGTTGTGGTGGTGGTGGAATACATACCTGCACTGTCAGCCACATAATTTTTTTTTTGTAACACAAGGATACAAAACAAAAAATAGTTGATAATAAATGACTGTTACTGGTTTATATACTTACTACATGATGTTTTTATGATTAGAGTGTACTCCCATTTACAAAAAACAGTTTACTATAAGGCAACATGCCACGTGACACCAGCAAAAGCCTCAAACATCTTGGGATTACTGAGTCTTGATTGCATTAAGAGGCCCTATCAAGTGATTGAGCTATAATATCTAGGTTTGTGTAAATAAACTCTAAAGAGTTCATCGGATGATGAAATTTTCTAACAATTCACTTCTTAGAAACTGTCTTGTTGATAAGCAATGCAYAACTGTATTTCAGTATTTATTTATTTTTCTAGGTAATGTTTTTATAGTATTTTACAGTCAACATGTAAAGTAGATAACAGGATTACTCCTCATTTTGTAAATAGAGAAACTGAGGCACAGAGCACTTATACAAGTTATCTGGATACCTTGTGGCAGAGTTTTGTTTTGAAATTATGTAAACCAGCTCCAGAGTACATGTTCTTCATTAAAACACTACYCTGATCCTTAGTGCATTCTGGTTGCTAGTGATATAAATGAAATTACTTGTGTCACCAACAGCTCAGTCTTACATTTTATTCATTGGAGTGGTCAAGGGAGTGGAAATCACATGGGTTTACTGTGTGGCTCCTCTAACCCTGAGCTTTGCATAGTTGATTTATCTTCCACTGGCTCAGGTTGGGACCCCATGTGCACCCCCACCTCCAAGCTTTCAGGACACAGACATATAAACATGAGATTTTTGGGTTTTTTTAAATTCTTTTTCGCTCATCTGCAGTGCATGTTGTTTATTTTCTCTAGGCTCCATCTATTGTTCATGGCAACATGGACAGCCACCTTGGGTCTTTTGTGATTCAAGGAGATCATCCTATGCTTGCTGAAAGTCCCCCAGATCAGCCTCACACCCCAACTTCTTCCCTACAACCCTCAGAGCCCAAGCYCTGTGCTAAACTTGATCCATGTTTCAGGGCCCCCAGCCCACCTATACTCCAGCTAGCTGGTCATTTTTGTTACAGTCACATCCCTCACTCCTGAAAACCTTCACAAGTCCAGGAAGGCAAGTAAAAGGTAACTCTTCCTTCAGCTTGAATTCAGGTCCCACCGGTTGAAGTAATGATTTCCAATTTTCTCTGTCTTTCATTATGCACATTTTGTATGGTATACATATTTGAGCCTGAATTCAATTAACCTGGTAAAGAATTTTATATTAAATTACAATCAAATGATTCAGGAGACAAGGACTACAATGTCTGGGATGCTAGAGAAAGAAAGCATGTGAGAGGAGTTAATGGGTGTGGGTAATTTCWGGGCTAATATCAAAGCCAAGCAATTGAGCAACACTTTGAATTAGGATGAGGTGTAGCAGATTTCCATTTTAGTTTTCCCTGGGATTAAATATGTAGAGTCTTTACCAATTTCATTTTTTGTGAATAYGCACAAATTCTTTCCAGGAAAAACACATACTGTGTGTGGCTTCTCAACATCCTCTATAGCCATACATTTGTCTTGAGTTTTTTTTTCCATTCATAGTTTTACAAGAATGAGCTAGAAGTCACAAGACGGGGGGATGAAAGARTAAAGGTCATCTGCAAAGGGAGGCTGAGAAAATAATAATTTCTATCTAAAAGTCTCTTATTTTAATCTTACATGAAATTTTAAAGTGATCCTCATATTTGCTAGTGGATTACTTCTAGCCTTGGAATTCAACAATTATTTAATATTTTCTGGGCAATCTATTTTGGCTCCAATGATAAAAGCCCTACCATGTGGCAAGTGTGATGGAGACATGGGGAATATAAAGACAAATAAACCCTGATCTTTTGCCTTAAGTAAGATTCTATTTCTAGAATTTTCTGGGAGAAAAATAACAGACTGTATAACTTATGACATTTTGTTTTTTGGGGGAGAATAACAGATTCTGTAACCTGTGACATTTTGGGCCATAGRTAGTATTTTGCCAGCCTTGATTGCTAGGACATTATGTTTGCCATTATTTTGATAGCAGTGCAGAGTGCAGAAAGACGGCAAATACTTCTTATTAGGCCATTTTCAGTTATTTTCTGAAAATGTAACATTTAGAGAGCATTAGATCAAACTGATACATTTGTTCCTGTCTCTTCTGGAATCTTTGCTGTGGTTAACTGATTGAGGATTTGGAGACTACAGCATTTAAGATTTTGTGATATTGGAAAAAAATGCCATACTTTCCCTGGTTTCATAAAAAATAAGCCATAATATCTTGATGAATTTATTCAGCATTTCTCTAATTAGTCTGAGGTACATTTCTACAAAACCATATTTTTATTATATTTTACTTCATTTGTCTGTTCATCAGCTTTCATGTATTGCTGATCTTTATAATGTATGAGAGTAAAATAAAAACTAATTATATACATAATACTTTTCATTATTTTATTGACTTTTATGGTTTGAAAAAAAAATCACCCCAAACTTATTTTTCCCCATGTGTTATTGSTGCTAGCCTTAGAGCTGTTAGCATTTGCTTTTTTCCCAAAAGACAAACTTTAAACAATTTCTGCAATGCTCCTAGGCTGCCTTGTGTGGACAAAAGCTTCCTTGGGTGGGGATCCTTCTGGGTTCCCTTCAATCATCATTGCCCCTTTCTGGGGCAATTTTGGGTGAATCCATTAGCACCACTGTCATTGCTCTAGTTTCTGCAGTGTCAGCCATGTGTCTCTTTATTCATATGACACTTCATTAATRTTTGTGTTTGATTATTTTCAGTAAAATGTTCTATTTGAATTTTTATTCATTTAAATTTTATTCAGTTTATGTTAATTGATCAAGTGGGCTGAATGATGCCAGGAAAAAGATAGTTTGTTTATACAAAACAACCTGGGGACAACAAGTTGACTGTTTTCCTAAGAACAAGCAATTGGCCTTGAGTCTMCTTTCTTAGGCAGATAGCTGAAGATATGAGATTGCTTCTTCATGAATCCTTTGGGCCTGGAAGTCTGTTTTCTCGACTTATGCTATTTGAACACAAGATCAGTTCTGGAGCTTTATAGTTCATTTTCTAAATTATTCAGAGATTAAACAAATAAAAAGTAGAGCAAATTTGTGTGAAAGTTGTTATTGGGAAGTATTTACAGCACTGTTATATTTTAAAGCCTCTTAATATTATCATCTTAACCATTTATCATCATTTTCTAAATTTATCAATAAACATATATTCATTAGAGGAAAGCTAAATTTTATTAGGTATTTAGAATACACAATTATTAACTTTATCTTCATATTCCTATGGAAGTTTTCCTCTTTTCCTAAATTTGAATTAAGGTATGATATTGGAAGACTATACTTTCAGAGAAGTTTTTCTGATCATGTTGAGCCCTGGAAACCATGAGGAGGAGCTGAGTGAGGAAAAAAAAAAAAAAAGAAAAGATATGATACTGGCCAGTTTGGTTGTGTAATGTGCCATGACATGTGACTGAATCAGTAAGGGTCACTCCAAGTGAATTGGGCTGGCTACTAAATAATCACACAGAGACAGAAAATACCTTTTGGGGGGGGTTTAGTGACAAATCCACAACCTCAGCTCCCACAAAGGAGGCAAGAGAGGCAGGCAAAGGGGAGAGAGTGAGCATGCCTGAAACCCTCCTATTTATTGGGGAGAAGCCATTCAAGAATATTCTACCCAAACAAGGCAAGGGATTGTGTTCCAGCAAATGGGGGTGAGGGGTATAGCCCAGTCCCATTGGGTGACGCCCACTCCCAGAGCTGCACTTACTTGCAAGCAAAAGTGAGGTCTGCCTGCTGCTTTGGTGCTGGGAGCAGAAGCCAGGTCCACACCTTCATTATCAAGGCTAAGGGCACATTCTCAGCTCCTGTTCAAGGTGCCCCCCTGAACAGTAATGTCTAAAACTGAATCTATATTAATATTTAAATATCATTATGGTCATGAGAGTCAAATAAAACTGCAACATTTTTAAATTATGCAGAACTGGGGAAAAAAAAGAAATTGCCCARTTTGACTCCCAGTACAGGAGATGATGGAATTGGAAACAACATAGACTATGGTGCCAATTACTGTTGGAAGTACTGACATAAGTGCTGTGAGATGCATGTGATACCTGCAATAGGGGATCAGTATTGATGCTGAGGAAAGACAAGAAGATGAGTTGAATTTTCAAGGGTGTGTGAAATGAGGGCAGGTTGAAAGAGAGGAGAGGTAGAGAAGTTGTGTGCATGGGGTCCCGGGAGAGTCGGAATTCCCCTGTGGCCAAGGGTGGAGCTTTGGTGAATGAAGTGACCATCCTCATTACTTGATAAAATGGTTCCCAGAAGTTAGGAACAAAGCATTTCCCATTCTTTCCCCACCTCTAGATACTGAACTCTGAGTGTGCAAACTCTTACCAATGGTTTCTTAATGTACAGTGGATATTTCTTTGTGCTAATATTGAAAAGTCCCCTCAGTTCTTTCCTCCCATGAGGTTTTGATAGCTCACTGTCTTGGTTTCATTCCTGTTCAATTCCATCTCGGTGTTCATTTTGCTTTACCTTCTTTCTGCTCGCCTTAATGTGGACATTAGTCTGGACTCAGAACTAAGTCTGTTTMTTGCCTACTATTTTCCTAGCTCCAGACCCAGGGGTTTTGGGGATCAGTCGGATGTCTGCAGGCACAGAATTTACCCCTCTTTTTTTTTCTCAGTTTCTCTCTATATCATGAAGGAGAGTGGTCCAGGGAATGTACTTGACCATCCATGTGAGGAGTGGATAGGGGTTGATGGGAAGAAGGAGCAGGRGTCAGGGCTGAGACCTGGTGTCTGGTGGCATGGTGAGGGGTGGCATGCTCACCAACGGCTCCTCTCTTCCAGGTGGCTGGAGACCTTGTGAGGCGCCTGCACCTGGAAGCCCATGTGGAGAAACCTGTGGCCACCTACAGTGGGGGAACCAAGCGGAAGCTCTCCACAGCCCTGGCCCTGGTGGGGAAACCTGACATTCTTTTATTGGTGAGTAGTGGARATATCAGTAATATGTCATTGTCTTGAAATAAGATGCCCACTGCACGTGTGCTTGTAAACTTAGTTTAACTAAATAGAATTCTTGTAGGAAATAACTTCAGAATTCACGACACTGATTCTACAAACTAATGAACTGTTCTGCCCTAATTCAACATTTCCCAAACAAAATGTAAAACATTACTAGACTGATACAGAAATAAGACATGTATCTTTTGGTAGATTCACTTACCCTTGTCAAATTCAATTAAAAAATTTAAAAATTTTTTTTTTTTACTTGTAGATGGACACATACCTTTATTATTTATTTATTTATTTTTATGTGGTGTTGAGGCTCAAACCCAGTGCCTCACACGTGCAAGACAAGCACTCTGCCACTGACCCCCAAACCCAGTTGTCAATAAAATTATAACATTAAAATTGTATTAAAAAATTAGAATTCACTTCTAATCTGAAAAAAATCAATAGGTATTTTTCCTCTAGCACAATGCTTTTAAGTCTTTTTCTACCAGCCAATATATGTTCATCATAACTGTAATGACACATATCTATGGTAAATCATGAGGATGGATGTGAGGGATTGCTATAATTTAGATACAGATTCCCCAAAAGCCCATGTGTTAAAGCTTTGGCCCCACCCCATGCTGTGATTGGTAGTTGGTAGAACCTTTAGGAGGTGGGGCCTAGTGAGAAGTCTTTAGGTCATTGAGGGCTGCCTTCAAAGAGATAGTAAGACCTTGGACCCTTCTTCTTCTTTATTGCTTCCTAACCAWGAGGTGAGCAGTTTTGCTTCACCAAATGTTCCTYCCAAKWCATATTGCCTGGTTGCAGCCCCAGAAGCAGCAGTGTCAACCAGTTATTATCTAGAACCCTCAAAATTGTGAAACAGAATAAATGCTTTCTCTTCATAAGTTGTTTACCTCAAGTAGTTGTTATAATGATGAAAAACTGGCTAACACATAGATGCTTGATGGATATGGAAGGGAGGGAAGAGAGTTCCAGAAAAGGTATAGCATGAGCTATGGCCTTGAGACAAAGCATTCTGTAATCCCTCTGGGAACTGCAATCAATTCTAAATTAATTCAAAGCATTAGTTGGAGGAGATATGGCCCATAAATAGAGCCAATTGCCTTACATTTCAAAAACAGCTCTAGCTATRCATAATGCCATTCAAACGATAAGTAGAATATTGTTCTTATGGTATATATTAGATTCTAATAGCTAATGTTCACCCCAGGGCYGCACTTTGGCAGACTGTCTGATGGGTGTCAAAGAATATAGGAAATAAAGCAGATTCTCTTTTCTGTTCTTGTTTGCCAGCTGAAAACAGCCTTTCAGTGGGAAAGTTAATGGGGATTCAGAAAGTCCATGCTGAACAATGTGATCCTGTCATTTATTGTCCTTTGGAAACTCACCCGAAAGTTGTTTTAATTCATCTAAGTTTGCTATTGAAAAGTCCAAAATCAAGGACTAATGTATAATTTTATATTCTGAAACCAAATAACACAAGTTAATATTTTCATCATTCTGCAGTTCCCAAATGGCATTATCCTCTCAAGGTGAGACAGTCTGAGCCTTAGCTCCTCCTGGAGGATGTCTCTGTGCTCAGCCCTGGAGCAAGGCATCTCCTCAGTCAGATGAAGGGGATCTGCTTTATGGTTGTGCTCTTGACTTATGACAGATCCTCAGCTTTCTCTTCTTTTATCTTCCTTGCTSTCATTTCCATTGAATGTCCAGGACTCTGGCACAGTGGCCAGGTGAGGACCCTGGAGTCCTAGTGAACAGATGTGGATTTTGCTTTTGCAATTTTATAACATATGACTTTGCATGCTCTAAGCCTGTTTCCTCCTTGTCTGATATAATCCACATGAAGTGTGCAGCCAAATGCCTTGTGCTTAATAAATCTACATTAAGTGTTTAGTAACTGTGATGATGGTGACTGTTCAGAGAATCAGTTTCAAACGATGGTTTTGAAGTTCTCCGCTGAGAGACAAGGAAGGGCTCTTGGAACTCATGCCACAGTGACAATCCGGAAAATTAAAAATTACTCACCCAACCCTTTCACTGAACGATGTAGGACTATATTATTTACTTACTATTGTAAGTAGTACACACCTAACACTTGATTTGTAGAAAAAGCCAGGTGTTTATTTTCCTGTTCAGTGACTTTTCTCCAACACTTCCCTTATGTTTTTTTTCCCCATTTCAGAGGAAGTTGATGACCCAAAGCTCTAAAGAAAAATGTGTTCAGTGCTCCCTGACTACAGAAAACCCAGAAATGCATTATATAGCTAGGCAAGATTTCTCTCCAAAGTGGTTCAGATAGCAAGTGTTTTGGAGTTTATTGAAGGAGAAAGTTTCAGGTTCCAAGAAATTACAGTTTATTTGATGTTACTAAATAAATGAAGCCTTTTTCTACTATCATATCTCTTTCCAGGAGATATCACTCTAAAAGTTTATGGAGGTGGAGGATTTATTTTAGAGACATCAAGGTTGGCTTATCTAAGCAGATTGTGAAGGGAATCTGGCTAATGTGAAAACATATCCCAAACCCCTATTTTTAAGGAGCCACAATTGACAAGTAAAAATTGTTTATATGTAAAGTGTACAGTATAATGTTTTGATACACACACTGTGAAATGGTTACCACAATCAAACTAATTTATATATCAAGCCCCTCACATAGTGACCTTTTTTTTTTCAGTTAGTGGTAAGAAAACATAAGATGAACTGTTTTAGCAAAATTCAAATGAACAATACAGCACTGTCAACTACAGTCTCTGTTAGTCCATTTGTGCTACTGTAACAACATATCACAGACTGGGTAACCTTATAAAGAAAAGAAATATATTTTTTTCCTGAAGGCTGCAAGTACAGGACCAAGGTACCATCAGATTTAGGGGTCAATGAAGGTCCTGTCTCTGCCTCCAAGATGGAACCTTGAACTAAGTATCCTCCAGAAATGGTGTGTAAGCCCTCCACAAGGGCACCTTGTACTAATCATGAATGGGAAGACTTCCTAACTCAATCACCTCTCAAAAGCCATGCTTCCCAATACTATTGTATTGGGGATCAAGGAGACAAAAAATTCAAATCACAGAACCCCTATGCTGCRTATTGTATCTCCAGAATTTATTAATTCCATATGTGTTAGTGTTTTGTCACTGTGACAAAGACCTGAGAAAAACAGCTTAGAGGAAGAAAGATTTATTTTGCTCATGGTTTTAGAAGTTTCTGTTAGTGGTCAGTGGGCCCCATTGCTCTGGGCATGAGATGAGGCAGAACATCATGGTAGAAGGACTTAGTAGAGGAAGGCTTTTCATCTTCTGGCAGCCAAGAACAGAGAGAAAAGGGCTTGGGACAATATGGAGTTCCCAAGAGCATACTCTCGGTGGCCTACCTTCTCCAACCATGCCCCACCTGCCTACGTTCCCATCATGTTCAACCTTGGCAACTACTATTGTAATCTGTTTATACGCATTTGACTTTTCTAGATGGTACCTGTGTGATCATAAAGTGGTCATCCTTTCATGTCTACCTTATTTCACTTAGTAAAACATCCTCCAACACTATACATATGTTGCTGGAAACTGAAGAGTTGCCTTCTTTTTAAGAAGGAATAATGTTTATTATATATACATGCGCGTGCGCACACACACACACATACACACTCATGACAGCGTGTGTTTTTTTCTCTTTTTGTGCCTTGCTTATTTCACTTAACCTAGCATCCCCTAGCTTCTTCCATGTTGTCACAAGTGATAGAATTCCATTCTTTTATATTTCTGAATARCGTACTATTGTGTGTACATGCCATGTTTTTATCTACACTTATCTATTGATGGATACTTCTATGGATCCCATATATTGGTTAATGTGTATAGTACTACAATAAACATGGGAGTGCATGATTTTTACTCTTTGATATACTGATTTCCTTTTTTTTTTCCTTTTCATATATTTAAAGTAATGGAATTTTTGCATCATTTAGTAGTTCTATTTTTAATTTTGAGGAAGCTCCATAATGGCTTACTAATKTACATTCCCACCAACAGTATATAAGGGCTACATTTTCTCCATAAATGCCATGATACAAATATTCACAGGGGTTTTGTATAAAATCCTGTCAGTTTTCTTCATTCCTTTTCCATTTTTTTTCCTCCTCTGACTGAACAATTTTACACAACCTGTGTTCACATTTCCYGATTCTTCCATTTACTTGATCAAATCTGCGGTTGACACTCTTACATTTTCGTTTTATCCATCACAATTTTCCGCTGCAGGATTTCTGCTTGGTTCTTTTCACATGGCTTCTCTTTTTGAGCTTGTTCATGTGTTGTTTCTCTGATTTTATTGCATTCTCTATTTATATTCCCTTTTTAACTCACGGAATTTCTTCAAGGTGATTCTTTTCAGTTTTGTGTCTGGAGATTCTTAGATCTGCAGTTCAAGGAGATCAGCGATTGGAATCCATCGTAAGAACACAGAAACATTGTGTTATTCAATGGTGTCCTGATTCTTTCTCCTCTATGCCCTCTTGGTCATCCTCCTCCTCCTCCTCCTCCTCCTCCTCCTCTTCCTCTGTGTTGCTTAAAGTCTTGCATTTCTTCTGTTTTCACGGTCTTTAATGGCTCTCTTTGTGAGAGAAACACTTTCCCCTGTCAGTTAGGGAGTGCATTCTGAGGCTCTCTTAGACCTTTTTTTATAGATATGCACACTGCACACTCCTTCATCATTCATGATGGGGGAGGGGGATTCTTAGGATTATATGCCTTTGTCCCTCCCACAGTGGAATCTCATGCCAGCTGCTGAGAGTTTCCCATTTGCCCTCTAGGGCAATGCCCTGAAATGCTTGAGCTTGTTGCTTTCTCCTAACCCTTTAAAAAACTGTGCTGGTCGCTTATGTGAGATGCCAATACCTGCCCGATTGGGGGTCCTTTCAGGGGGCCACTAGGAAAGGCAAAGTGAGGCATTCAGAGTGCTTGTGTACCTGGRTACCGGTGAGAAGGAGTCTATAGAGAGACCTTCCAAGTGGCATAGGAGCAGGCTTTCTGGTGGAATTCCCAGAGTGGTGACAGCGGCCCATGGCCTCTCTTCCCTACTTCTAGTCTCTTCCAATATCTCAGCTGTGTCAGTCACCTCAGTAATTTAGGGAAGATGAAAAAGAAGTGGGCCTCTTAAGTAGCATCCTGCATGAGTGCATGGGGAGTTAGGCACTCCACTCCTCTCCCCATTATCTTGGCTTTGTTGAGCAGAATGCAGACGAGCTGATGGAGAGGTACCTGCGACCATCAGAGAAGGGATTTCTTGTAACCAGCATCTGGTCTCATGTGATAGTGTACCTCCATACATGTATTCATCAAATTAATATCATTGTGTGTTTTCTTTCCTCTAGGATGAGCCCAGCTCTGGAATGGATCCTTGCTCGAAAAGATACCTGTGGCAAACGATTGTGAAAGAGGCCCAGGAAGGCTGTGCTGTGGTGCTGACCTCCCACAGGTGAGTGGAGCCCCCTCCTGCGGCTATTTCCTGAGCAAATATGAGTAACAAACCATAGTTAGGGGAAAATATCCACCTCCGGCCAGCACCACACACAGAAGTTCCTTTGTGTTTACACTGTGAAGTTGATACACTTGATGGTCCCTGTTACTCAGTGTAAGAGATTGAACCAGAGGGAGATCATGTAACATAACCAAGGCCACAGGAGCCCGGGGGAGAGCTGGAGTTTGAGCCTGAAGTTTGACAGTCACACCCCGGCATGGTCCATTACTGCTGGTCCAGGATGGGATGAGTGATGGACTCCCTCAGTTAGTTCTTCCCAAGGGGTCCCAGCTCCTTTCTATCTAAGGCCTCATATTCCACCAGGTAGAATTATCTGAAATGAAAACTGAACATGTGACTGAATCTGGTCTCATATTTTACTCACTATGGATTTAATTGTGTTACTCAATTCTCAACCATGACCTCTTTTTAATTTGATGAGACATCCTTCTAGGCCTCATGGAAATACAAACGTAGAGTTCAAAAAACCAGTCCCTGGGGAGTGAGTGATCTGAGGTGGCTAGAAATATCCTGAAGATACAATGGAGGTTGGGCTTTAAGGCTTATTCTTGCCCCCTCTCCCTGCCCAAGCTTAAATAAAATACGCTGTGAATCAAGTATCAAAAACAGTTAAGGATATGAAGGTTTATTTTTGTTCTTTCTTTTTTGGGGGAGGTACTAGGGATTGAACTCGGGGGCACTCGGCCACTGAGCCATATCCTCAGTCCTATTTTGTATTTAACACAGGGTCTCACKGAGTTGCTTAAGGCCTTGCTTTTGCCGAGGCTGGCTTTGAACTCGAGATCCTCCTGCCTCAGCCTTCCAAGCCCCTGGGATTACAGGCCTGTGCCACCACACCTGGCCTTCTCTCTCTCTCTTTTTTTAATGTGTTCTTTTTAGATACACTAATTATAGTATATTGTATTTTGACATATTACACATACATAGAATATAACTTATTCTAATTAGGATCCCATTCTTGCAGTTGTACATGATGTGGAGTTATACTTGTCATATATTCATATATGAACAMGGGAAAGTTACCCAATTCATTCTACAGTTTTTCCTATTCCCATCCCCCTTCCTTCCCTTTATTCACCTTTGTGTAATCCAGTGAACTTCTAATCCCCCCCACACACACACTGACTCCCATTGTATTTTAGCATCCACATATCAGAAAGAATATTCAGCCTTTGTTTTTTTTTTGGGGGGGGGACAGACTTATTTCATTTGTCATGATAGTCTCCAGTTCCATTYATTTATTAGCAGATGCCATATTTCTTCTTTCTGGCTGMGTAATACTCCATGTGTATATATACCACATTTTCTTTATCCATTCATCTGCTCAAGGGCACCTAGGTTGGCTGCATAGCTTTGGTATTGTGAATTGAGTTTCTATAAAAATTGATGTGGCCAGATCCCTATAGTATGCTGATTTTAAGTCCTTTGGGTATATACCAACAAGTGGGATAACTGGGTCAAATGATGGTTCCATTCTGGGTTTTCTGAGGAATCTTCATACTGCTTTCCAGAATGGTTGCACAATTTGCAATCCCATCAACAATGTATAAGTGAACTTTTCCTCACATTCTCAAGATTTTACTACATTTTTCTTCATTCAAAATCCYAAACCTAGGAAATCATTGATCTGCTTTCTCTATAATTTGCCTTTTCTAGAATTTCATATTAGTGGAATTGTATGATGTGTAGGCTTTTGTATCTGCCTTCCTTCACTTACTATAATGTTTTTAAAGCTTATGCATGTTGCAGCATATATCAATAATTCACTCCTTTTCATTTCTAAATAGCATTCTATAGTATAATTAGACCACTTTCATGTATTCACCCACCAGTTGATGAATATTTGAATTGTTTCCAGTTATGGTTATTATGAATAAAATTCTTTATAYAGTCTGGTAAATGTCTTTGAATATATAGGTAAATGTTTTTATTTTTCTTGGATAGAGTCTGAAAAGTTGAATAGCAGAGTCAAATGGTAAATTGTGTTTACTACTTTAAGAAACAAACTAATTGGATTAAGGATCTTTGAATGTGCTTATTGATTGTTTGTATTCATTCTTTGGTAAAATATATATTAAAAATTTCCCCCATTTAAAAAAAAAATAGAGCCAGGCGTGGTGAAGCATGCCTGTAATCCCAGCAGCTCAGGATGATGAGACAGGAGGATCACGAGTTCAAAGCCAGCCTCAACAATGGTGAGGCAGTAAGCAACTCAGACTGTCTCTAAATAAAAAATACAAAATAGGGCTGGGGATGTGGCTCAGAGGTTGAATGCCCCCTGAGTTCAATTCCCAGTACCAAAAAAAAAAAAAAAATAGAAATTAGAATAGGTTTAGGTTCATAGCAAAATTGAGAGGATGGTACAAAGATTTTATGACCTTCTCCCATTTATCAGTATGCTCCCTGACACTGGTATGTTTGTTACAATTAATGYGTACCTACATCAATGCATCATTATCATCCAAAATCCATAGCTGACTTTATCCTTGGTGTTGGGCATTTTGTGGATTTAGAAAAATATATAATAATATGTTTCCACTATTAAAACACCATAGAGAATACTTTCACTGCCCAAAAAATTAACTGTGCTTTACCTATTCATCTCTCCTTTCTGGCAACCAATAACTTTTTTTTTTTTTTTTTTTTTTACCATTTCCATAGTTTTATTTTCTTTCCCCGTTTGACATATAGTTGGAATCATGCAGGATGTAATCTTTTTAGACTGGCTTCTTTTGTTTCCCCCACGTCTTTTCATGGTTTGACAGCTCATTTCCTTTAAGCACTGAATAAAGTTCTGTAGTCTGGATGTACCAGTTTATTTCTGCATTCACTCACTGAAAGATACTATAATAACTTCTTGCAAGATTTGGCAATTATATGTGAACTGTTGTAAACATCCATGTGCAGATTTTTGTATGTAAACTTTTTCATCTTTTGGAGGGTAATACCAAGAAGTGTGATTGCATCATATAGTAAGAGTACATTTAGTTTTGTAAGAATCTRCCACTTATAATTATGTTTTCTGTCTGTATTTTTTACTTGTAAGAGGTTTTACCTCTATCTATCTACCTAACTACCTACCTATCTACTACCTACATACCTATTGGACATTATATTCTGAATATAAATCCCTTGCTGTATATATGATTGATAATGTTTTTTCTCATTGGAAATGTAAACATTATAAACCCTTTTTATTAAATCTAATTTTTCATTTTTGTGTGGCTTGCACTTTGGGTGATACATCTAAGAACTCTTTGTTCTCAAGTCATGAAAATGTTCTATTTTTTCTACTAAGAATATTAAGGGTTTTAGCTTTAAAGAGTCTTTGATATATTTTAAGCTAATTTTTTTTGCATATAATAAGAGGAAATGAGTCCAAATTTACTTTTATGCATGTAGATATCTAATTATTTCAGCTCTATTTTTGTAAAGACTATCCTTTGTCCATTGAATTATCTACATTTATTGAAAATTAGTTGACCATAATTATATAGATTTATTTCTGGACTCAATTATTATCCATTGACACATATGCCTATCCTCTCACCAGTATAGTCCTTTTTTTTTTTGGTACTGGGGATTGAACCCAGGGAAGCTTCACCACTGAGCAACATCCAGATCCCTATATATATTAATATTGAGGGAGATTCTCGCTAAGTTGCCTAGGGCCTCACTAAGTTGCTGAGGCTGGCTGTGAATATGTGATCCTCCTACCTCAGCTTCCCAAGTTGCTGGAACTACAGGTATGTGCCAGTGGGCCCACCTCTAATTCTGTCTTGAGTATAGTGCCTTTTATAAGGTCATGAAACATGCAGGAGAAGCCCTTCAGCTGTTTCTGTCACAAAATTTTTCATTCATTTGAAAATTCTTTCTGTGGCTCATTTTAAATTTAATTCTGTTGTGATCAGAGGAAATACTTCTTTTTTGTAATTTCCATTCTTTTAAATGGGTAAGGAGTTTTTAAAGGCCCGCCATAGAGGCTATAATTTGTTTTGTCTGTGAAGCAACAGATAATACATTCTTTTTTGTTTTGCAAATCATATAGTCTACTGCAAATAAAGCTCTGCTGTTGTAGTATGAAAGCCGCTGCAGACATTAGGTAAGTAAATGTGATTGTATTCCAGTAAAACCTAAATGAATAAGGCGGCAGGCTGGATCTGGCCACACAGCCGTAGTTTCTGCACATGGCCTAGCCTGCGGCCTGTCCTAGGGAATGACATGGTCCTTAGTGGGAAGGAATGTGTATTCTGTGATTGGGGCCAGTTAGGGTTAGTGTTGAGAATTCTGTCTTATTGTGGGTGTTTTGCCTTGGTGTTCTAATAGTATTGAGGGTGAAATACTGAAATCTTAATGTATTTCTGGCTTTTCCTCCTTTACAGTCTGTCAATTTTTTCTTTGTATATTTTGAAGCTGTGATTAGATGAATAAGCACTCTTAATTATCTTCCAAATATTTTTACCCTCTTATCATTAAGAAATGTCCCTTTTTATCCCTTATTGCGTTTTTTTTAATTGTCTTAAAGTCTGTTTTATCCAATGATTTCACTGCTGCTACTGTCTTTTGTTTACTGTGTGTATGACATATCTATGTATATTAAAACTTTTTACGTTCAAATGATTGTGTTTTTTTAATAGAAAGGATGTTTTCTGCAAATGGTACAGTTGATCTTGCTGTTTTTCCAATCTGACAGTCTCTGCCTTTGAGTGAGATGTTTAGATGATTTAACATTTAACATAATTATAGATATGGTGGAAGTTACATTAACCATTTTGCTATTTATTATTTACATATCTTCTTGGCTTTTTTAATCTTTGTTCCTATTTGACATTTATATACTAAATAATTTCCAGTAYAGTATCTTTGATATTTTAACTAGTTATTTTTGAGCTATTTTATTAGTAAGTATTCTAGGAATTAGAGTTTCTACCTTAATT